TCTCTCTCTCTCTTTCTCTCTCTCTCTCCCTCTCTCTCTCTTTTATTTTTATTTTATTTATTTATTTATTTTTTTGAGTGCGTCTCTTGGAGCCCAGGTTGGCTTTTTACTGACTATATATTAGAGGGTGACCTTGAATTTTAGATTTTTTCTGCCCCTGCTTCCAGAATTTTGGGATCATGGATATATTTCACCATGCACAGTTCATGGGATTCTGGGGGTCGAAACCAGGACTTTGTGCACAGGCCTGCTAGGCAAGCGCTCTATGAACCGAGTTATAGCCTCAGCTCTGAATTTGCTAATTCATATACACTTCCAAGTGTGAAAATCGTTGGTTAGATGTGCTTTTTTTGTTTGTTTGTTTGAATTTTTTTTTTTTTTTTTTTTTGTGAGATGGGTAGGAATGAAATCACGGCCTTGTGCATGCTAAATCGGCACTCTGCCAATGAGCTGCACCTCCTAGCCCTAGATTTTCTTATTAAAACCACCATGATTAGAATGTACAGGGATGTGTTTCTATTAATTCTTTGGAACTTTTTTGGCAGCGTTTAATTATGAAAATTACGAATATACAGAAAAGTGGAAAGCGTGCTATAGAACAGGCATATGTTCTCCACCTAGAGCCTATTATAAACTTGTTTTTCATAGTTCTCCTTTTTTTTTCCTCCTAAATTAATTTCTCTGGGGGAGGCTGTTTGCTTTGAGAGTTATCTTAGTTATCTCAGGCTTAGTTATCTCAGGCTGATCTCTGACTAGCTGAGGATTACTTTAAGCATCTGGTCCTCTTGTCTCTACCTCATAAATGCTGGTGTCACAGTCAAACATTAACCACACCTGGTTTATGAGGTGCTGGGTGATCAAACCTAATTCTCTGTGTATGCTAGGCAAGCACTCTACCAACAGAACTATATCCTGAACTCCTTATATGAAGAGTTTCCTTTTCTTCTCTTCTCTCTCTCTCTCTCTCTCTCTCTCTCTCTCTCCCTTTCTCTCTCTCTTTCTCTCTCTCTTTCTCTCTCTCTTTCTGAGACAGGGTTTCTGTCTTGAACAGCTCTGGCTGTTCTAGAACTCAATCTGTAAACCAGGCTGGCCTCGAACTCACAGAGGTCTGCCTGCCTCTGCCTCCCAAGTGATGGGATTAAAGGCGTGTACCACCACCGCCCAGCCACGAGGAGTTTTTTATGGAAACATTAGGTCATAACAAGACCGTTACAAACAACTGTGTCTTGATAATGAGACTTTGCTTTTTCTTCTAAAATGCTCCGTGAGTGTGACCACTTGTGGTGGTAGGAGTGGGGAAGCACTCGGGTGTGGGGGGGATTAGCAGACTGGGATCTGCTTGTAATTCATCCCACCCAGAACGCTAAGCTTCAACATCCTATAGCATGCGTGAGGCGTAAGAAGTCGCCTGTAATGTTACCGCCATCCCTGTTACTATAGGTTTGTTGCAAATATTCTTGTCGTCCCTGTTTTTCAGGTGGAAGAAACCGAGGAGCCAGTTGAGCATTCAAATAAGAAGGAAAACATCTGTTGGCATGGAAAAGTGATTATTTCCCAAGCTACCGCGTACGGCACATCTGGCCTGGCTCTTTCGACTCTGTCTGCTTGTCAAATTTTGTTCTTTCAGGAAACCTTACAGAAACAAACCTCAACCATCTGGAACTCAGAAACTCATGTGGTGCTGACTGTGGCTTCGAGAACATCCAGGTGTTCTGCAGATGTGAACTTACCCTGCAATCACCAGATGGAGTCCTGAGCAGATGCAAGGCTTGGGCTGTGGCCCCAGCCTCCCTGAGTGCAGAGGGTCACTTACTTGCTAAGTGGCCAAAGAATGGTTATTGACAACCATGTGTGAATGCTGCTCCTAACCAGTCATCTTATTAACCTGTGATGAGAAGACATCTCCAGGGGGCCAATCCGATTTAGGGTGACACATTTCCTGACTCTTGGATTAGGATTCCAGATGGGGCCTTTCTTTCTGTAGCTCCCACCATTCCTGCAGCCATTACTAACTTCAGTGTGTTTTTTACCAACTGGACCAATGTTCCTTGCTGGCTTCCTGCACTCAAGGTGAACAAAGAGAAAACTCTTTGAGAAATCTGTGGTGGGGGCCGTTTGTCACTCGATCGAGACAACAGGAGTCTGTGCGTGCCACCATGGGCTGGCTTTTTCTAAAGGTTTTGTTGGCTGGCATGATTTTCTCTGGATTACTCTACCCTCTTGTGGATTTCTCTATCGGTGGGAAAACAAGAGCCCCCAAACCAAACATTGTGATCATTTTGGCTGACGATATGGGATGGGGTGACCTGGGAGCGAACTGGGCAGAAGCAAAGGACACTGCTAATCTTGACAAGATGGCTTCTGAAGGAATGAGGTGAGTCAAGCAATGCTGTGTGCCATTCCAGTTTTTGTTGGAGGAGTAGACAGTGTAAAGAACATAATTATTTTTTTTTAGACTGATTTGTTTTATATGTATGTTTTCCCTGTGCACCCATGTGCACACATGCCTGTTGAACCTTCAGGAACTGGGATCATAGATGGTTATAAGCCACCATGTGAGTACTGGGAATTGAACCCAGGTCCTATTTAAGGGCAGCAAATTTTCTTATCTGCTGAACCATCTCTCCAGGTTCCACAAAGCACTTTAGTAATAGTCAAATGATTAATCGGTGTTGCTTTCATTACTTTATTGATTTATTAGATTTGAAGTCAGTATAGTATCATGACAATATATTCATATATCAATCTATACACTTACTTGCCTATCATGCATCCATATGTCATCTGTTCATCCATTCATCTGTGCATCTTTCCATCATCCATCCATCCATCCATCCACCAATCCAAATATTCACCCACTTATCCATCTATCCATTCACTTGGTAAGATGTTTGTATGTCAGGAGTTGAGAATTTAGAAGTGGACAAGAAAAAATTTCTTGCCCTCGAGTTACTCACTTTCCAAAAGGGGAAACGGGTTAAGAGGAAGGTAGACAATCAAGTCTTACACCTGCTCGCTCACACAGGGAGTTCTTGGAGTCCAGAGGGGAAGATGTGAAACACTTGCCTGGGTCCTCCAGGGAGTAGACAGCCTGTGATGAGCAATGAGAGCTACTGAGGACACACATTTATTTGTGAGCAGACACAACTAGCATTTAAGGCATTTACGTCTAATGGACCCCAAAAGGGAGTGTGTACGTGACTGACAGGTGTGTGTTTATAGGACAGCCATCCAAAAGTCTCGTTCAAATCCCAGCTCCTTTCCCTGCTTAGATGGAGAACAAGTGTAAGAGCTCACAGACTTCTTTGAGTCCTCCGTACCTCCTTGGGCCAGTGTTGATTCAGCTGGATGCAGGGGCATTGGCTGGCTAGCGTGGATCCTGTCTGTGCTTTGTAAAACACTGCATTTGGCTCAGCGGGAGTGGCTTCAGCTGGTTGCTAGGGACAGCATATGGAACATCTCCACAGAGTTTCTGCCTCATGCACTCCGGTGCTTGGAGCTTCTCCTTGAGATAAAGACCCTGGCATCTGACTTCACCAGGTCACTTCCGCCAAGGTGAGCTTTCTAGTTTATTCTGTGTGTTCCAGTCATTCGGAGGCATTTACAACCCAAACTCCATAAAGCATCTTGTGAACCTTTTCTCCTCTGCTTCTCCATCTTCCAGCTGACTTCAGCTGTCACCCCTCTAGGTGGGCCAGGCTTTACTAGTTTGTATGGCGAACACTCCCTGTGCTCACGGCCCACCTTCCGTTCCTTGAGTTATTGCTTATTACTTAAGTCTCAGTTTACTTAAGGTCAGGTGCGCCCTGCCCTTGCAGCTTTACATGGTGAGTCTTTCCATGGCTGATCATGTGTTAAATAGCATCCCCCCTTCCAACTTCACGTCTCCCCAGAACCTCAGTCTTTGCAAATGTGAGTCGTGAAGGATCTCAGTGACTCGATGACACTGAGCTTAAAGTGAAGCAAATCTTAATGCCTTGTGCCCTTGTGAGGAGAGCCAGGGAGCAGGGGCACAGTGGCACATGCCTGTGATTCAAGGGCCACGAATTTCAGGCCAGCCTGGGCTACATAGACCCTTATCTGAAAAACCCAAAACACACCAATGGAAAAAAGAGGGTTCAGAGGCGGTAAATACAAGGAGAGAGACAGGGATCAGAGGAATGTGTCTGCCAAGGACTGCTGGCAGCCACAGGAAGGTTTGAAGGGAGACAGAGTAGAGTCTCCCTCAGCTTCCCAAACAATGGTTCTCAACCTGTGGCTCGCGACGCCTCTGGGTCACATACTAAATAGCCTGCATATCCAATATTTACATTATGATTTCTGACAGCAAAATTACAGTTGTGAAGTAGCAATGAAATAATTTCGTGGTTTGGGAGTCACCACAACCTTGAGGAACCTATGAAAGGAGCACAGTGCTAGGAAGGTTAAGGACCCCTGCTCCAGAAGAAACCAACCCCACTGACACCTTCATTTAGAAATCTTTGGCTCCCTGTACCACTGCTTCCAGCCACCCAGGTGTAATTTGTTGCATCAGCAGCAGAAAATCCACACAGGCCCCTCCTAGCTCTGGGCTGCAGAAAGGTAAGGAACCTGTCTTTTCCCCCACTTAGACTCCTGGTACAAGCACGGGGTTTCTTGTGTAATGAGCAATTAATATCTGCTCATCAATAAACAGACTTTAGAGCCAGGCATTGTGGGCACACCTATAATCTCAGCATTCTGGTAACTGAGACAGGAAGATTGTAAGTTCATAGACATCCCAGGCTAAGAGGCTAAGACCTTATCTCAAAAAAAAAACAGGGTGTGTGGAAGCAGAAATAGTTTTTAAAATGTCCTCATTCCTTCTTTCTTTCCTTTTCGTATCCTTTTTTATTTTTCCAGACCCGATTTCTCTGTGCAGCCCTGGCAGTTCTAGAACTATTGTAGCCCATGCTGGCCTTGCAGAGCTCCACCTGCCTCTGCCTACACGAGTGCTGGAATGAAAGGCCTGTGCTTCCACACCAGGCCCTTCTGTTTTTGGAGACAAGCTTTCATTATGGAGCCCTGGCTGCCCTGGAACTCACTCTCTAGAGCAGGCTGACCTCAGCCTCACAGAGAACCGCCTGCCTCTGCCTCCCAAGTGCTGAGATCACAGACATGTGCCACCATGCTTGTTGTCCATCTTGAATTTTGCATGTTGAAAAACTCCCGCCCCGCCCTCCCCCCCAGGGGAGACAGTTACTCCAGACAAATCTCCCCACGTACCTGGTTTCTAAATGTTTAAGAGTGTCCAATGGATTCTCCAGGAGACATCCGCGCCATTAAGCTGAGATCTGGGAGGTCCAGTTACCTCTTTCTCTGAGCTGGTCCACTGATACACCACCCTGTGTGGAAGGGGGCCGGGTGCAAGCCCAGTGTGGTGGGGACTTCTCTATTCTGTTCATCTGGGCCTGTGACAGTGGTCCTGCTCCGCACCTGGTCAGCCCTCTCCATCCTGTGCTTTGGCTACTGGACAGGCAACCTTCCCACGGAGTCACGACTGGTGCTAGCTTCTGGGACCGTTCCTCAGATGTCGTCTGTGTTCTTCTTTTATTTATTTGTTTGTTTGTTTGTTTGTTTGTTTGTTTATTTTTAGAAAATACCATGAGCTGGGTGGTCATACTGAAGCAATGGTTTTCACCAAACCTGTGGGTCCAGACCGCTTTGGAGGGGGGGGGTGTCAAACGACCCATTCCCAGGACTCATACATCATGTATCCCGCATCTCAGATATTTACATTGAGATCCATAACAGTAGCCAAATTACAGTTCTGAAGTGGCAATGAAGATAATTCCAAAGTTGGAGGAATTACAATATGAGGAACTGTACTAAAGGGTCACAGCATCAGGAAGGTTGAGGACCACTACTGTAGGGCGAGCGTGTTGAGGTCAGAGGACAACGTGGAGTTGGTTCTCTCCTTCCACCAGGTGGGTCCTGGGATTAAACTCAAGAGTAGTCAAGTTTGGTAGCAAACACTGACCAAACGTCTCTCTGGCGCTGTGTCTGACTTCCCCACCCCAGGTCTCTCTGGCTTGGAACTCACCAAAGAGACTAGCTTGGGTGATCCGGGAACCCTACTTGTTTCCCCTAACCCTCCTGCTAAGTAGTCACCATTGCATCTCAAACGTTTCTTTTAAGTGTGGATTCTGAGGACAGGCCTTGGGTCCTCCTACTTTCTCTCGAGCACAGGTTCTCCTGACTGAGTCCTTGCCCCGGCCCATCCACACCTGCGGGTGTACGGGAAAGAGAATGAGTGGCCAGCGGCTGAGAGAGACGCTCGCAGCCAAGACAGCCGAGACAGCCCGCAGATCTGAACTGCTCGCGAGGCTGAGCGCCTGTTGTGTCTGCACGTACTCAGGAACTTTGATTAGCAGTGCGTCCGCTTTGCGTGCTCTGACTTCCTACCTTTTCCCCACCCCCAGTTTAGTTCTGGGTCAAGTCAATGCCTCTGCCGCTAGGGGTTCTGGGCGGTAGCTTAACCAGGCATCAAAGATCGATTGTCACTACTCAAAAGGTCAGAGACTCCCAGGGACCTGAGAACTGTTTCTAAAACGGGCCTCAGTGAGTAATGAATTAAGGTGTCAATTCAATCAAATACCTGGTTTGATTTTTGTTCTAAGAATTGACCACTTTCCCCTTTACCTCTCAGCAATCTTCCTTCCTTTATTCCCTCCCTCTTCCTCCTCCCACTCTATCCTATTATGAAGACTTGAGGGAGTGTTGTAGTGACCTAAAAGAGGGTGCCAACTCTACCAGAGATTGGTGAGATCTTGCTGTCTGGTATCCACTATGGAGACCAGGGCAGAAATGGCATTCTGTGTAAGAAGAGAATGCCACTTCCTAGCGGTGTAACCCTTCCACAGAGGGAGGGGTGGAAGAACCCTCACTGGGGGAAATCCTTTTTCCTCTGACCTTTGCCGTCAACTCCAAGCAAGACGTTTGCTCCGGTTTCTTGTGTTCTGTCTGCCCCGGAGCTCTCAGCATTGTGGGGCAGGCAGCTTTCCATCTTTGCTCTTGGGTAAATAGGTCAAACAGACATAAAGGACACGTCATGAGCACACATCAGCTGGGACAAGATGAAGATAGCAGGGGACTGTGTGTGAGCTTTTACCTCTCAGCCCTGTTTCATAGATGGGGACACAGGGGAAGCACAGTGACCTAGATGGCAATGAATCTCAGAAGGAAAGGAAGAAAGGGAACTGAAATATTAACCAGTGGGGCCTTGGTGTCGGCCTGCTTCACCGAGGATGAGACCAAAGAAGCCCATTCGATTGCTATGATTAGTTGCTCTTTAAGACTCGTGAGTACAGTCGTTCAATAATAAATCGCTAAGAGTCACGCGTCCAGTTCTTACCT